TTCATCCAGTTCATGCCCATGGAGTTCATTTTGCATTTTTTTTTTTTAATAAAAATTGGCAATCAGAGGTTTTTAAAAATAAGTAAGAAAATTAGTCAAAAACTAAGTAAATGGTCAACTTTTTTAATTAGATTTTTTTTAGTTTTACCACGAATTATGCCCAATCAAACAATAAACAACGGATTACGCTGTGGCTTTTTTGTTGAGTTTATATTTCTCTAATTATATTCTTCTCATTAATGGGCACCCGTATATTTGTTATTTTGAAATAAGTGTGAAAGAGGGAAGGAAGTGTACTGCGTCTTTTTTTTTTGTGAGTACACATACATACATACATATTTTATGAGATAAACGCTTACACTCATTGTAAACACATTTTTCCTTTTTTATTAAGCTTTTGTAAACAAATCTGATTTATGTATGTGTTAAAAACGATTCGAGCACAAATAGTGAATAAATCCCTATCAGCTATTCACCTTCACTGTAAATCTGTAAAGCCAATTGAAGTATATTTTTACTGCTGCATATTCTCATCAAGTGACTATCAATATGCACTCGAACGCGTCAATAAATCCAAAGAGCTGAAAGATTTCACAAAAACAAAGATTACTCATACGCCGCGACCGCTATTTTAGGAGAATGAAAATATTATTAAAATGCAAACGTATGTATGTGTGTATGTATGTAGGTGAGTAAGTTCCCTGTCGGAAATGGAGCTACTTTGAAAGCAATGTTAAAAGTGTTTTTTTTTTACGAACTGCAAGAGGTTGGAATTCTTGCTTTTTTCTTATGAGCAACTTATTTTATAAACATGGCGATCACCTAGGAGCAAGTCAATTATACAAATCTGCATGTGATTTCAACTACTTTCAAATGCATTTGGCTTACAGATACACACACTCAGTGACCGAAATGATGAGTAAAAACAATAACTGATGAGCCAGACATTCGCCTGCTGCATTTGTTTCACAATTATTCATTTTTTTTTTTTTTTAAAACTACTTTTTCAGTTGGTTAATTTTTGAGACTTTCGGTTTTATTCCGACAAGGTTCTATGAAATGATGTGCAAATTGCCTGAAGGCATATTTATAGAAATGAATTTTTATTCGTTATGATTATATGGGCAATAAATTCGCGTGTTAGTTGGCTATAAATGCATTTTAAAACTTATTAAATGCAATAGGGTATATCGTCGGTCCCTACGAAGAGTAGCACATTTCACTATTCGCGTGGAAGACTAGCACATTTCACTATTAGCGTGGAAGACTAGCACATTTCATTATTCGCGTCGAAAAGTAGCACATTTCAGATTTTTGCGTGGAAGAGTAGCACATTTCGTTATTTGCGTGGAAGACTAGTACATTTCAGATTTTTGCGTGGAAGACTAGCACATTTCAGATTTTTGCGTGGAAGAGTAGCACATTTCGTTATTTGCGTGGAAGACTAGCACATTTCAGATTTTTGCGTGGAAGAGTAGCACATTTCGTTATTTGCCTGGAAGACTAGCACATTTCAGATTTTTGTGTGGAAGAGGGATACGCAAGGCAGTTCATATAAGGTTGTAGCAGCCGTTAAAAAAAAAAAGTTACATAAATATGTATGTTTATACTATAATTATTTTTCTTCGGTCATGCTGAAAGTTTAGTGTTGTATATGGAGCCTTTTGGCCGGTTATTACAAGTAAAATAAACGTTTATTTTTCCTCCTACACCTTTCGACATTCGCGTCTTTCTCAGGGAATCTTTATTTATAAATAAATACGAAAAAACATATACATACAGTATCATATCAAGAGCACCCCGTTTCAAAGTGATATTATTTATGTTATGTTTATTTATTTACTTAAAAAACCTTCAATTAAAATAAAGTTAATTCTCTTAAAAAAATCCATATTGGCCCAAGTTTAAAGCCCAGGAGAATACTAAAAAAACTCAACAAATTTTCAACAACGCAAACGCAAATGAAATATTTTCCTTCGAAGAACTGTCCAAATATTTTCATTGGCAAAAAATTAAGATATCACATGTACGGAAAATTACAATAAAAAATAGCAAAAATCAAGTAGACATGGCAGTAAAATACGACTTTATGCAAAGCGAGGAGAAGTTGAACCTAATGAAAAAAAATGTTCAATGGTCAACCATGAAACACTGTGAATTGCCTAAAGCTTACAAGGGAAAAATACCTTTAAAAAAAAGAAAAGTGGATGATATTCAACAAATGATTAGTAAACGGTATATACCGTCTGAATTTCATGATTTTCATAATACAATTAAAGAAATATAGAATAAACGTTTGAATTTTCAATATATATTATGCTTTTATGATTTACTTTAAACCGGAGACGTGCAGTTTTCGCGGCTTAACAATCTGAAATATGCTACTCTTCCAAGCGAAAATCTGAAATGTGCTACTCTTCCACGCAAAAATCTGAAATGTGCTAGTCTTCCACGCAAATAACGAAATGTGCTAGTCTTCCACGCAAAAATCTGAAATGTGCTAGTCTTCCACGCGATTAGTGAAATGTGCTAGTCTTCCACGCGAGAATCTGAAATGTGCTACTTTTCGACGCGAATAATGAAATGTGCTAGTCTTCGACGCGAATAGTGAAACGTGCTAGTCTTCCACGGTAATTTGAGATGTGCTACTCTTCGTTGGGAGCGACGATATAATATATATAATAGGGTAATATTTAATTCTTAGATTTCCATTACTCTGCTCTAATATTGCCATTGGTGGTAAATATTTCAAAACTTGTTTCTTCTGATGAAGCCTAATATTTGTGCGTATACAAAAAAATTTTAAGCATAAAATTCTGCCCTCTTTAAGAAAGTTACTCCCCTTTTTCTTATTGAAATAAGCACTTCTATGTAGAGAAGAAGATTAAGAAGAAATTAAGCAGCTTATAAGGTCAAAGGGAACAAATTTGTTATAATTCACTGATTTAAAAAAAAAAAAACATTTGATGGATTAAAAACTTTAAACAACAGCTACAAATTTTTCTAAAAGAATGATATTAAATATATGATTTTTTGATGGAAAATTGTTGCATTTTTTAAACTGTAACAGTGAAAAAAGTAAAAAAATAACAGTTTCTGTGTAAATATTTTGCACTTGTGTTAAAGCATGTTCCTTTAAAAAAAAATACGTTACCAATGAAAAAAAAAAAATATGGATAAATAAGAAAATAATGATTGGTCAAATGAAAATGCGCAAGCGTGTTAGAAATGATTAATTACTTTCTCAGAAACTATCAGGGCTATTGGAAAGTGATGTAAAAACGGTTTATGGAGAATTTTATTTGCTTTAATTTACCGTATCTCGTATTAATATTATTCAATTGGTTCGTTAAATATACCTAATCAAGTAGAACCCCTCTTTTTTTTTAAGCTGTATAACGGTAAATTGTAAATATCTCGAAAAGTTATCCATAGAAAAAAATCATCTCGATTTTCGGAATCCCCCAGAAATTCTACATAGAGAGTAGATAGTCGCATCTATAAAACATTTTTGCTGTAAACCAGTGTCATTAAACTTTTTAAAGTTAACGCGAAATTCGCATGAAATCGACACCACTATTATATGAAAATTCCACAATATATAGCCGTATTCCTGAATCAGGCATGTTCTGAAATTCGAAAATTTTAAATCGACTCGATTTCGATAATTTTTTCGATTATTTTTAACCTAAAATTTAACAAGTCTCGCATTAAAATGATTTATTTCATATCGCTGCTGCTTCTTTTATGGTTTTCAATTAGAATATTCACTCTTTTCATCAGATATAATTAAAAATATAATTATTTGGCAAATCGAGTCGATTTCAAAGTTTCAATTTTCAGAACATGCCCGATTGCTAATTGATGCAAACTGTTCTAAGTTAACGAACACAATTCTAGTCGTGTTGCCGTCGTTTGTTGAGCCACATCCATTTGCCCCACCATATCATATCGCAGACCTAGATCGAAAGTGCGATCAACTTAAAAAAAAAAAATTAGGATGATTTTTTTTTCATTTCATAAATTAATTCATAATTTAATTGATGCAAAAAATTGTATCTTCAGGATTATGTACACTAATCAAAAAAGTTACTGTTATATCTGTTTTTATATTGATTGCATTGCATCTGTACGATCCTCAAGCAATTATATTTCCTGATCTGAAATTTGAGTTAACTCACTTTAGATCTACATAGATGGGCGATATCATGATCATGGGACATAAAGATATTGAAAGAAATTGCAGGGCCGATAAGCTAGCTAGAAAAGAAACCAATCCCCTCCTTTGTGAAAGCGGAGGTAAAATTTGGGTACCCGTGACAGATTGCAAATTAAGGATTAGAAATAAAATTATTCAAGAGGCCAATAGGTCATGGTTAGATGAGAGCACTTGTATAACAATTAAGCTACTATGACTACAAATTGATAAGAAAAAAATTTAAAACTGCTCAGTCTCTCAAAAAAGCACATTTCTGTGGACATGGTTTGTGCTACCGGTCACTGGCTATTTGGTGGGCACTCTTCGAGATTAGCAATATTCTCCCACAAATATTGCAGAGGAAGAGGAAGAAACTGTCGAACTCTTCTCCTGCAGTCAGGCTTTATTGATAGGCACTTCTTTAGTTTAGTTTACTATTAAGTTGCCTTTACGCGGATACATTTTCTAGTCGTTTCTTGCCATTCAACCCAAATCGACCAGTGTAAATGGCAATTCAACCGTAAAATGTAAGTGCTTTGGCTAGTCCTTAAAATACCAATCGACAAATGTGGTATCCTACGGTTGTTAACTGTCTTGAGGGTCATAAAAAAAAATGCCGAACTGGTGCATCAGAATATTCCGCATTTTTTCTGAAATATTTTAATAAAGAAATTTAGAAAAAAAACCTTCAGATTTTTATTCCATTTTTTATGGAGACCAGCCCAGTCTAATATAAATACATATACATCCATCATTTATTACCAAAAGCATTTTCTAAAAACTAAACAAACTTTCGACTCACCATTTAATCCAGCGTAAAGTATGTACATATGTATGTGAAGATACTTAAATCAGCACGTCTTTCGCGTAGCTGACGTCAATGTCGCATTGACAGATAATCGCAAATAAATTAATTTTTGTTGATTTTGTGGAGCAGACAGCTGAGCGATACATTTAGGAGAGCAACATACGTGGACGCAGTAAAGTGTGGCATAAAAAAGAGCAGAAGTAGTAGAGTAAGCAAACAAAAGGTAAAAAAAGGAATAGTTATTGTTTTTTTACTTTTACTTTTTAACAATTTTTATGAATTTTTATTTTTCCTTTCGCTGCTTTGCTGCGCACTTACAATTACAAAATCATTTTTCTGCTTGGAAATCACTATTCACATAACATTTTCCAACACTTTTAAAAACTTTCTACTTCACTTTTCAAATGCTCTGCGTACAAATTCGCTGCTTAACGCCAATGCCGCTGCTCCACACTCGCACACACACACGAACGAACGACAATAAATGAGACTGACTCCAAAACAAAGTAGCAAATCCGGCAGCACGGGACTTTGCGATTTTCTTCACTTTTTTGTTGCTGCTGCTGATTTTTTTTTCTTTTTTTGTTTTTTTATTCTTTTTTGTTTACTTGCTAACACTTTTTACGCACAGTTTAAACACTGCTCGCTATGCGCTGATTTACTGCCAAAATATACACAAAACACAAATTTGAATAGTTGCGTTGAAAATGAAATATTTCACTTCAACTGATTTTTTAGCGCTTGGCAAATTTTTATTTTGATTTTTAATTTTTCATTTCATTTTTTCACACTTTATCTATTTAAAATTACGGATTTTCTTATTTCTCACGCTTTCTTGGAAAAAATTTTCTTTTTCGCAAAAATAAATTTTCAGCAAATTTTCACCTTCCACGCTAATGAAAGACATAAAAAATTTCTTTAGCACTTCTGCAGCTCATTGACGATTGCGATGCGTTGCATTGCGTTGCGGCGCTTAGACGAAGGCGGAGGTTATTGGTGGCACATTATATGTATGTATGTATGTATGTACATATTTATGTATGTCGATTTTAGTTGAAACGTCGATGGCTAGTGTTTGTTTTATTTGCAGAAACTCTTTGAAATCGAAAATTTGACTATAACGAACGACAGACAGTGTGTCGTTGGGGGCGGCATAAGACGAAAACTCGACGAAATTTCTTTAAGCAGCTATTGCTTTTGCTTGGCTAATATTTGCACAAATTTTATTTTTATTAAATTTTATTTAAAAAATTGTTTGAGGATATTTTAGTTATAATTAGATTATCCTGATTTTGTCAGAGAATATCTAACAAACATAAAATTAGTTGTTTTTAATAGCGCGAAAATTTTTTTACTTAATTTTTTTCACTTTAAATTTTTGTTATGAAATAACTGCTGTTTTCTACAAACCGGAAGAAAGAACATAACTTTTTCTTTGTGGTTCTAAAAAAATTTTATTTCTGTATCCAACTATAAAAACAAATCGCCCAAGCCTCTTAGAAATTTTAGCTTAATATTAGAATTGGAACTCAACACCTCCAAATTCTTTTTCGGCAAAAGTCTCATATGTTAAAACTGTATAAAAAATATAGTAAAAAACTAAGAAAAATTTAGTATGGAAAATGTATGAATAGAAGTGTGATGTTTTTTCTTCTTTAACGCAGGCCAAAAACCCAAATGCAAAGGTCATATGTATGTAGATAACCTTAACCGAGGTCAGTCATCAAATGCAAGTGTTGCAACTTCTGAGCGACCTCGCTTAAAAATAATGCTAGTGGCCCATCTCTACTGATACATCGGAGCAGAAAGGGATTTCTTCTATCTTTACTAAAAAAGGCTCCATCCGATCAACTTTATTGGCATTTCCGAAATACTAAAATTCTTTAACTTCAAACAATTGATTCCAACGATCATAATCATATCTCCATCGGGGTTGGGCCAAACGCAGAAAAAACCCAAAACCTTTCAAAAACTAGTGCGACTTTTATTTTAGTCAGTGGTGAAGTCCAAGAGGCATCGGGAAGACAAAAAGCCTTGAGGCAAGTGGAAGCCTCGATGAGTGGTTCTGATCGCTCGCCAGAAAAACTTGTACCAAGGGAAAGGAACGTTGTTGGTTCGAAATTATGATATAGGTACAATTTTGATCGCCGTGAAATAAATAGTGAGCATAAAACATCAAGCCTGACAGAAACCGCACTCCAGTCAGCCAGGTGTTGTCTTCTGATGTCGCTCGAGCACCATCCGAACTGTGAGTTCTCACTGCGAGTATAGTTTTTTACTTAACAAGGAAATAATTTTTAGCTGAGATCAATATCTCCCAAGCCGTCTCTCCGAATACACAGACGAGATACAGTCAGACTTACCGCGGGACAATTCAGCAAAAGGCAGTTACCACGTTCGGGAGCTATAGTGTATCCTTGCGAATGCTGTCAACCGAGTTCAGCCAACGAAAAGCTTCGGTTGCTTAGATAAACTCGCATGATGCTAAACAACTTTTCGCTTGCCCACTACAACGCACTCAACTCACACCCCTCTACGATCGCTCCCACCCCATCGAAATAGCACTTTTCTTGAGCCTTATTGTTCGGAGAGCTTGACAATGGTGACTAATGGATAAACTTATATATTTAAGCCGTAATTCCGCTGTAACAATTAGGGGATTCACAAGACGTGTTAACCGTCGTAAAATCTTAAGCTTAACACTTGTTTATGTAAAATAGCGGTTAAAATGGTTGGGGGGTTGGCTAATTATATATTCTTTATCAGTTTAAAAGAATTTCGGTTTAGTTAGAAATCCCCTAAAACCATTATAATTAAAAAAGATGTTAACCTTAAGATTTTACGACGGTTAACACGTCTTGTGAATCCCCTAAATAATTTTTATCTAATGCTTTTCAACTATTCCTAAGCTCATGCCTCTGTAGGAAAGTTTAATAAAGCATTAATGCTGAAATTCAAATGTATGTGCGTACGTACATTTAGTAATTTCGAACACTGGGTTTTCGAAAAGGGCTTAGAGTGCCGCATTTAATTAATGAGTGATCGAGTGGTAGGTGCTCGCTTCTATCCCTGGCCCCAGCAACATTAATTGGCCATGAAAAAAGCTTTTTATAAAATCCATTTCCCGTTCGGAGGCGCCGTAAAACTCTAGGTCGCTCCGCCTACATATGTATATATAGAAGATGCATACATACGAATGTACTTATTACTTTATAACATTGAACTTCTTCTTGATTCCAATGGAACTTTAAGCGCTACACTCAAGGTTACTGGTTTACCTACTGAGCTAAGAATAACTCCCGCAAAATTTTGATGGATTTGATCAAGAGCAACTGTTTTTAGTTACTATTTGAACTTCATCGCTTGCTTGTTGTGGCTGCTGCTGCTTAGGAGATTATCAATTTAATTTAATTGTATTTTATTCTGTTTTGTTTTATTTAATTTTATTTCGTTTTATTTTATTTTATTTTATTTTATTTTATTTTATTTTATTTTATTTTATTTTATTTTATTTTATTTTATTTTATTTTATTT